CCACTCACGTGCTAGCATACCCACTCACGTGCTAGCATACCCACTCACGTGCTAGCATACCCACTCACGTGCTAGCATACCCACTCACGTGCTAGCATACCCACTCACGTGCTAGCATACCCACTCACGTGCTAGCATACCCACTCACGTGCTAGCATACCCACTCACGTGCTAGCATACCCACTCACGTGCTAGCATACCCACTCACATGCTAGCATACCCCTCACGTGCTAGCATTCCCACTCACAAGCAAGCATACCCACTCACAAGCAAGCATACCCACTCACGTGCTAGCATACCCACTCACGTGCTAGCATACCCACTCACGTGCTAGCATACCCACTCACATGCAAGCATACCCACTCACGTGCTAGCATACCCCACTCACATGCAAGCATACCCACTCACATGCAAGCATACCCACTCACATGCAACATACCCACTCACATGCAAGCATACCCACTCACATGCTAGCATACCCACTCACATGCAAGCATACCCACTCACATGCAAGCATACCCACTCACATGCAAGCATACCCACTCACATGCAAGCATACCCACTCACATGCTAGCATACCCACATCACATGCAAGCATACCCACTCACATGCTAGCATACCCACTCACATGCAAGCATACCCACTCACATGCAAGCATACCCACTCACAAGCAAGCATTCCCACTCACAAGCAAGCATACCCACTCACGTGCTAGCATACCCACTCACATGCAAGCATACCCACTCACGTGCTAGCATACCCACTCACGTGCTAGCATACCCACTCACGTGCTAGCATACCCACTCACGTGCTAGCATACCCACTCACGTGCTAGCATACCCACTCACATGCAAGCATACCCACTCACATGCAAGCATACCCACTCACATGCTAGCATACCCACTCACGTGCTAGCATACCCACTCACATGCTAGCATACCCACTCACATGCAAGCATACCCACTCACGTGCTAGCATACCCACTCACATGCAAGCATACCCACTCACGTGCTAGCATACCCACTCACATGCAAGCATACCCACTCACATGCAAGCATACCCACTCACATGCTAGCATACCCACTCACATGCTAGCATACCCACTCACATGCTAGCATACCCACTCACATGCAAGCATTCCCACTCACGTGCTAGCATACCCACTCACATGCAAGCATTCCCACTCACATGCAAGCATACCCACTCACATGCTAGCATACCCACTCACATGCTAGCATACCCACTCACATGCTAGCATACCCACTCACATGCTAGCATACCCACTCACATGCAAGCATACCCACTCACATGCAAGCATACCCACTCACATGCTAGCATACCCACTCACGTGCTAGCATACCCACTCACATGCAAGCATACCCACTCACATGCAAGCATACCCACTCACATGCTAGCATACCCACTCACATGCTAGCATACCCACTCACATGCAAGCATACCCACTCACATGCAAGCATACCCACTCACATGCAAGCATACCCACTCACATGCAAGCATACCCACTCACATGCTAGCATACCCACTCACATGCAAGCATACCCACTCACATGCAAGCATACCCACTCACATGCAAGCATACCCACTCACATGCAAGCATACCCCACTCACATGCTAGCATACCCACTCACATGCAAGCATACCCACTCACATGCTAGCATACCCACTCACATGCAAGCATACCCACTCACATGCAAGCATACCCACTCACAAGCAAGCATTCCCACTCACAAGCAAGCATACCCACTCACATGCAAGCATACCCACTCACATGCAAGCATACCCACTCACGTGCTAGCATACCCACTCACGTGCTAGCATACCCACTCACGTGCTAGCATACCCACTCACATGCTAGCATACCCACTCACGTGCTAGCATACCCACTCACATCCAAGCATACCCACTCACATGCAAGCATACCCACTCACATGCTAGCATACCCACTCACATGCTAGCATACCCACTCACATGCTAGCATACCCACTCACATGCAAGCATTCCCACTCACGTGCTAGCATACCCACTCACATGCAAGCATTCCCACTCACATGCAAGCATACCCACTCACATGCTAGCATACCCACTCACATGCTAGCATACCCACACATGCTAGCATACCCACTCACATGCTAGCATACCCACTCACATGCAAGCATAACCCACTCACATGCAAGCATACCCACTCACATGCTAGCATACCCACTCACGTGCTAGCATACCCACTCACATGCAAGCATACCCACTCACATGCAAGCATACCCACTCACATGCTAGCATACCCACTCACATGCTAGCATACCCACTCACATGCTAGCATACCCACTCACATGCTAGCATACCCACTCACGTGCTAGCTTACCCACTCACAGGAGTGGGTATGCGCGAGAAGGTAAAGCGGCAGAAACTGAGAGTGAATACAGAGAGAGGCAGCTGGGAGTAAATTAAGAGAGCAATAAGATTCATCATCGTGCTTGAGGTAAAGATAGGAGGGGCATAAACTGTGAGGAAGGGCCCGTAGGCGTCTTGGAAGTGGCTTTAAGACACCGAGAGTCGCTCAGTACACAGGTTGAGCGCTGATCTTGTCCCTGGCGGGAAAATTATTTGTCTTGCACTCGACAGAGTGCAGAGGAGGCAGAGTGGAAGAGACCTAGGAACTGCCGGGTGTCGGTCTCTCTCCCTCTGTCTGTCTGTCTGTCTCTGTCTCTCTGTCTCTCTCTCTCTCTCTCTCTCTTCTCTCTCTCTCTCTCTCTCTCTCTCTATCTCTCTCTCTCTCATCTTCTCTCTCTCATTCTCTCTTCTCTCTCTCTCTCTCTTCTGTCTGTCTGTCTGTCCTGTCTGTCTGTTGGTCTCTCTCTCTCTCTCTCTCTCTCTCTCTCTCTCTCTCTCTCTCTCTCTTCTCTTCTGTGTTTTGTCGCTGTGTGTGTCTCTCTCTCTCTCTCTCTCTCTCTCTCTCTCTCTCTCTCTCTCTCTCTCTCTCTCTCTCTCTCTCTCTCTCTCTCTCTCCAGAGGTATGACAGAACATAGGTCAGGAGTCATTCCATTAGTCAACCAACGGCTACGAAAGCGGGGCCCAAGACCTAAAACTCGATCCTGCAGGCACAAATATGCAAGTCCATATACACACTTAGGTTAGAGCCGGACGATGCCCTCCTGGCCGGATAAGCCGTCTGTTCCAAACCCGTACCTCCTATCCGAAGCATTCTGATCAAAAGAACTTCCATCCGGCTCACCAGTCAGAGCACCTGAATTTCATGGCCCCCCGAGCGGTAAATTCTACTTTAACACACGCCTGATACAGCCTCACACTTAAGAACATCGTACTTGGGACGTTGAAGCTTAACTTCGGCAATACACAGCCAATGCAGTCGGAGCCTGATAGATGGGGCGTGGCGTGCAGATATTACAAGCACTCTGGTTAGTGTTTTACTCGGCTGCCGGCCGTGTTATGGGGCTCGCTGGGTGCTGGAGTGCGTCTCTACTTCCTGTGTTATGAGTGCATGGTGTTGTGAGTGCATTGTGTTGTGAGTGCGTGGCATAATGAGTGCATGGTGTTGTGAGTGCGTGGCATAATGAGTGCATGGTGTTGTGAGTGCGTGGCATAATGAGTGCATGGTGTTGTGAGTGCGTGGCATAATGAGTGCATGTGTTTGTGAGTGCGTGGCATATGAGTGCATGGTTTGTGAGTGCGTGCATAATGATTGCATGGTGTTGTGAGTGAATGGTGTTATGATCACACGTTGTTTTGAGTGCATGGTGTTATAATCACACGTTGTTGTGAGTGCATTGTGCTGTGAGTGCGTGGTGTTGTGAGTGCGTGGTGTTGTGAGTGCGTGGTGTTGTGAGTGCGTGGTGTTGTGAGTGCATTGTGTTGTGAGTGCGTGGTGTTGTGAATGCATGTGTTAAAAGTGCCTATAAAGTTTTAAGTGGTTCACTTTTCGCTCTCTAAATTAGTTTCACTGTAAAATTTGGTTACATCAGCTTCAATTAATATACAAAACAATTTGAATATTAATCGCTGGATTAATAGTATTCATTTCAAATAAATTTTTCATTCGAAATTGTATTGATTAGATTTTTCAGTCATATCCTCTTTACACTTTTATAAACAACAGCGTCAAAATGTACTCCATATAGTTACAGATCTCCTCTATTGCATTTTTATGAAAATTCTTATAAAACTGTAAGCCCTTCCCAGCGAACATTTTCGGGTTTAAAAGGTGGTTTGTGCAATTCGTGATGGATTTTAACAGTTATTCATACTGACCCCAAATTGACATCCAGGGGTCATTCTTACTGAGTCCTGACATCCAGGGGTCATTCTTACTGACTCCTGACATCCAGGGGTCATTCTTACTGACTCCTGACATCCAGGGGTCATTCTTACTGAGTCCTGACATCCAGGGGTCATTCTTACTGAGTCCTGACATCCAGGGGTCATTCTTACTGAGTCCTGACATCCAGGGGTCATTCTTACTGAGTCCTGACATCCAGGGGTCATTCTTACTGAGTCCTGACATCCAGGGGTTATTCGTACTGACTCCTGACATCCAGGGGTCATTCTTACTGAGTCCTGACATCCAGGGGTCATTCTTACTGAGTCCTGACATCCAGGGGTAATCGTACTGACTCATGACATCAAAGGGTCATTCTTACTGAGTCCGTGACATCCAGGGGTCATTCTTACTGACTCCTGACATCCAAGGGTCATTCGTACTGAGTCCTGACATCCAGGGGTCATTTCTTACTGAGTCCTGACATCCAGGGGTTATTCTTACGGAGTCCTGACATCCAGGGGTCCATTCTTACTGAGTCCTGACATCCAGGGGTCATTCTTACTGACTCCTGACAATCCAGGGTCATTCTTACTGAGTCCTGACATCCAGGGGTCATTCTTTACTGACTCCTGACATCCAGGGGTCATTCTTACTGACTCCTGACATTCCAGGGGTCATTCTCACTGACTCCTGAACATCCAGGGGTTATTCTTGTACTGACTCCTGACATCCAGGGGTTATTCTTACTGACTCCTGACATCCGGGGGTCTTATTACTGAGTCCTGACAATCCAGGGGTCATTCTTACTGAGTCCTGACATCCACGGGTCATTCTCACTGACTCCTGACATCCAGGGGTCATTCTCACTGACTCCTGACATCCACGGGTCATTCTCACTGACTCCTGACATCCAGGGGTCATTCTCACTGACTCCTGACATCCACGGGTCATTCTCACTGACTCCTGACATCCAGGGGTCATTCTCAATGACTCCTGACATCCAGGGTCCATTCTCACTGACTCCTGACATCCACGGGTCATTCTCAATGACTCCTGACATCCAGGGGTCATTCTCACTGACTCCTGACATCCACGGTCATTCTCACTGACTCCTGACATCCAGGGGTCATTCTCACTGACTCCTGACATCCAAGGGTCATTCTCACTTGACTCCTGACATCCACGGGTCATTCCACTGACTCCTGACATCCACGGGTAATTCTCACTGACTCCTGACATCCACGGGTCATTCTCACTGACTCCTGACATCCAGGGGTCATTCTCACTGACTCCTGACATCCAGGGGTCATTCTCACTGACTCCTGACATCCACGGGTCATTCTCACTGACTCCTGACATCCACGGGTCATTCTCACTGAGTCCTGACATCCAGGGGTCATTCTCACTGACTCCTGACATCCACGGGTCATTCTCACTGACTCCTGACATCCAGGGGTCATTCTCACTGACTCCTGACATCCACGGGTCATTCTCACTGACTCCTGACATCCACGGGTCATTCTCACTGACTCCTGACATCCACGGGTCATTCTTACTGACCCATGGATCCCCAAATCCATACAGTTAACCACTTCAGTGACTGGGAATGCTTAAAATTTCTCTCAACTTGTATTTTCTAGAGCCTGGGTGAATTATTACACAATAATTTAAACTTTGGAAATATTAGTAACTGGTGCGAAATCTGCACACGGAAATGGCTTGTTAGAGAGGCCAGGAGGCATGGCAGGAAGTGCAGAATAGCAACATTGAAAAAGCAAAGGTGCAACAGGTAGGTTGAGAGGCAGTTCTATAAACATTAAGAGGCCCAAGCTGTTCAACACTCTCGCTCTAATCATAAGGGGCATAACTCTTTGACCTCTAATTGTGTTCAAAGGAACTTAATAAATACCTCCAAATGATGAACAAATCCACAAGGGCCGTGACGAGGATTCGAACCTACGTCCGAGAGAATCCCAGACGCTGCCTTAATCGACTGAGCTACGACAATTAAAGTTCATCTGGGATCCTCTCGGACGTAGGTTCGAAACCTCGTCACGGCCCTTGTGAATTTGTTCCTCCGAAGGATACTTGATCAACCGGGCTGTGATTCATACGTTAAATGCGAACACCGGCGGTCTAACAACCTGGTTGACCAGACCACCAACTAGATTACCTGGTCAAAGACCGTGCCGCGTGGGCATCGATCCCCGGAAAGCTACATAGGGTAGACAGAAGGTATCACTGAATGCTTCAAGATGGTATTCAGTGGTCATCACTACTGACCTCAAGACGGCCTTCCGGGGTCAATACTAACCCCTAATGGCGTCCCGGAGTCATCCATATTGATCTGAGCATTACCGCACCCTGCGGCCTACCCTACACCCTGCGGCCTACCCTACACCCTGCGGCCTACCCTACACCCTGCGGCCTACCCTACACCCTGCGGCCTACCCTACACCTGCGGCCTACCCTACACCCCTGCGGCATACCCGTACACCCTGCGGCGGCCTACCCTACACCCTGCGGCCTACACTACACCCTGCGGCCTACCCTACACCCTGCGGCCTACCTACACCCTGCGGCCTACCCTACACCTGCGGCCTACTCGTACACCCTGCGGCCTACCCTACATCCTGCGGCTACCCTACACCCTGCGGCCTACCCTACACCCTGCGGCCTACCCTACACCCTGCGGCCTACCCTACACCCTGCGGCCTACCCTACACCCTGCGGCCTACCCTACACCCTGCGGCCTACCCTACACCCTGCGGCCTACCGTACACCCTGCGGCCTACCCGTACACCCTGCGGCCTACCCTACACCCTGCGGCCTACCCTACACCCTGCGGCCTACCCTACACCCTGCGGCCTACCCTACACCCTGCGGCCTACCCTACACCCTGCGGCCTACCTTACACCCTGCGGCCTACCCGTACACCCTGCGGCCTATCCTACACCCTGTGGCCTACCCTTACACCCTGCGGCCTACCCTTACACCCTGCGGCCTATCCTTACACCCTGCGGCCTACCCTTACACCCTGCGGCCTACTTACACCTGCGGCCTACCCTTACACCCTGTGGCCTACCCTTACACCCTGCGGCCTACCCTTACACCCTGCGGCCTACCCTTACACCCTGCGGCCTACCCTTACACCCGTCCCTACACCCTACACTGCCCCTACTGAACATAGGCGAACCAGTGTCTCAGAATATCACAGGTGTCGGCCGCCGTAAACATTGAAGCCAGCGACCCTATGGGACTACATCGCTTGCTAATAAAGACATGTACACAAACTGCAGTCAGCCGAGTTTCCATCCCCCAACACACTTCCCATTTGTCACAAACTTATAACTCATTTTAGAAAAAGAGTCAAACGCTCGTTAGACGAAGAACTTTGTAATCGCTTATAAGAGACTCGTCTTGAACTATATGATATTATTATTATTATTATTATTATTATATATTATTATTATTATTATTATTATTATTATTATTATCATATATTATTATATATTATTATATATTATCCCCGCGGCCCGGTCCTCGACCAGGCCTCCATTTTGTTACACATCCCCCAGGAAGCAGCCCGTAGCTGCTGTCTAACTCCCAGGTACCTATTTACTGCTAGGTGAACAGGTGGCATTAGGGTGAAAGAAACTCTGCCCATTTGTTTCCGCCTCCGCCGGGGATGGAACCCGGAACCTTTGGACTACGAATCCCGAATGCTGTCCACTCAGCCGTCAGACCCTTTATGTTAGGGAAGTGAAGGGAATTTTCAGGGGGGAAAGCGGCAAGCCATTACGACTATATAGCACTGGGAAGGGGTCAGAATAAGTATTTGGGATGGGACGGGGGGAAGGAATGGTGGCCAGCCACTTGTGGACGGTTGGGCATTGAACGCCGACCTGTATAGAGCGAGACCGTCGCTCTATCGTCCAGCCCAAGTAGTTGGGCTTTATGTTAGGGAGAACATATTCATATCTAGGCAGAAATGTGTACGAAATAATTAGTAAAGTTTAAATTTTTTATTTAATAACTTTTATAAAAATAAATAAAATATAATAAATAAAATAAAATAAATAAATAAAATAAATAAATAAATTAATAAAATAAAAAATAAATAAATTAATAAAGTTCTTGCTAAAGTTAAACGTTTATTCTAATCAAATTGATTTTTTTTGGCTGACATATTTGTTGGATAAATGTACAAATTGACACCTGGTCCAGGGCGCCTGACGGCTGAGTGGACAGCGCTCGGGATTCATAGTCCTGAGGTTCCGAGTTCCATCCCCGGTGGAGGATGAAACAAATGGGCAAAAAGTTTCTTTCACCCTGATGCCCCCTTGTTCACCTAGCAGTAAATAGGTACCTGGGAGTTAGACAGCTGCTACGGGCTGCTTCCTGGGGGATGTGTAACAAAAAGGAGGCCTGGTCGAGGACCGAGCCGCGGGGACGCTAAGCCCCGAAATCATCTCAAGATAACCTCAAGATAACCTCAAGATAACCTCAAGATAACCTCAAGATAACCTCAAGATAACCTCAAGATAACCTCAAGAATTCAGGTTAGGCAGATTTGATTTGGTTAGTTAATTTATTTAACTTAACCTAATCTAACTATCGGTAGGTTGTTAAGATCTTCACTGTTTATACAATGAGGTTAAAGAAAGATTTTGCCTTTCTTATGCCTAACCTGCCTCATAGGCCTGCCTCATAGGCCTGTTTCATAGGCCTGCCTCATAGGCCTCCCTCATAGGCCTGCCTCATAGGCCTGTCTCATAGGCCTGTCTCATAGGCCTCCCTCATAGGCCTGTCTCATAGGCCTGCCTCATAGGCCTGTCTCATAGGCCTGCCTCATAGGCCTGCCTCATAGGCCTGTCTCATAGGCCTGCCTCATAGGCCTCCCTCATAGGCCTGCCTCTTAGGCCTGCCTGTCATTGGCCTGCATCTCCCTATCGCTGCCTACCTCACAGCCTGTTGCCTCTGACTACGTCTCGTAGGCCTGGCCTCTCTCACTGCCTCAAGCACCGTGCTTGAGGCAGTTCTCTCACCTCTCACCTCTCATACCCAGGGCGCTGAGCCTCGCTACATGCCTTCTGGTCATCCTTTAAGACAACGATAATTTGTTTATATCTGCAGGCAAAAGGCCTTGAAGGTGTGTGTGTGTCACGTGATGTTTACATGTGTCCAGCTGACAGATGTAAACAATACGGGAGGGGGAGGGGGAGTGGGTAAAAAGAACCCCGCTGTTCCTGCCTCCCCCACTATTTACCTTCCTCCCCAACTCCTCCACCCTTCTCCCTTACCTCAAGGCTTCCCCAAGAAGTTCATCTCCCCCGGCAGGTTACTTAATAGTTGGGATAAACTGAGTGAGACCGAGGGAGAGGAAGTTAGCATCGCTGGTTAACTCATTAGGCGTTCACTGTACGTGTGGGTGTTGGGCAGACAGAGGAATGAGACAGGCAGAGGAATGAGACAGACAGAGGAATGAGACAGACAGAGGAATGAGACAGGCAGAGGAATGGGACAGGCAGAGGAATGGGACAGACAGAGGAATGGGCCAGACACAGGAATGAGACAGACAGAGGAATGGGCCAGACAGAGGAATGGGCCAGTCACAGGAATGAGACAGACTGAGGAATGAGACAGACAGAGGAATGGGCCAGACACAGGAATGAGACAGACAGAGGAATGGGCCAGACACAGGAATGAGACAGACTGAGGAATGAGACAGACAGAGGAATGAGACAGACAGAGGAATGAGACAGACAGAGGAATGAGACAGACAGAGGAATGAGACAGGGAGAGGAATGAGACAGGCAGAGGAATGGGACAGACAGAGAAATGGGCCAGACACAGGAATGAGACAGACAGAGGAATGGGACAGACAGAGGAATGGGCCAGACACAGGAATGAGACAGACAGAGGAATGGGACAGACAGAGGAATGGGCCAGACACAGGAATGGGACAGACAGAGGAATGGGCCAGACACAGGAATGAGACAGACAGAGGAATGGGCCAGACACAGGAATGAGACAGACAGAGGAATGGGCCAGACACAGGAATGAGACAGACTGAGGAATGAGACAGACAGAGGAATGAGACAGACAGAGGAATGAGACAGACAGAGGAATGAGACAGACAGAGGAATGAGACAGGCAGAGGAATGAGACAGGCAGAGGAATGGGACAGACAGAGAAATGGGCCAGACACAGGAATGAGACAGACAGAGGAATGGGACAGACAGAGGAATGGGCCAGACACAGGAATGAGACAGACAGAGGAATGGGACAGACAGAGGAATGGGCCAGACACAGGAATGGGACAGACAGAGGAATGGGCCAGACACAGGAATGAGACAGACAGAGGAATGGGCCAGACACAGGAATGAGACAGACAGAGGAATGGGCCAGACACAGGAATGAGACAGGCAGAGGAATGAGACAGACAGAGGAATGGGACAGACAGAGGAATGGGACAGACAGAGGAATGGGCCAGACACAGGAATGAGACAGACACAGGAATGGGCCAGACAGAGGAA